AGTTTTAAAAGTTTGAATTCGCGCGCATTTACTCACCGGGTGGCCTAGAAAAACAAGCGAAAAAAGCTCGTCCCTAAGGGCTTTCAGCCTATTTTTCAATGCGTTTTTCTCAATGAAGGATTTTTTTTTTGAATTTTTTCTTTATTTTTATGGCAATCTACATGCTTTTCTGCTTTCCTGCACCACCTTTAAAATTTTAGATCAATTTTTTCCCATTTTTCCGAATTTCCCTACTTACGAATGGTCGATTTCCTGAGACCATCTCTCAATTCCTCGAATTTCGACATCAATTCACTTTTAACGTCAGCAATCAGTTGTCGATACGACTCATCGATCATCTCGTCAATCGTTCGTTCCCGCTGCTCCTTCCGTGCTCTTTTTGGCTCTTTCGCCGGCGCGATTTCATTTGGACCCATCAAACCCATTTTTCGAATCATTTCTAGAAGAAAATTTGGGGGTTTTTGGGGTATTTTTTAGAGATTTTTGAATTTTCGCCCAAAATTTCAGTTTTCAGCCTTTTCCATAGTTTTAGTGAATTTTTCGTCAGTTTTGAGCATTTTTTCTTCCAATTTTTCGTAATATTTTAGTCGAAAATTCGCTAAATCTTTACATTTTTTAAAGACAAAAACTTGGGTTTTTAAATGAATTTCTGTGGTTTCTGCAAACCAAATAAACATTGCTCATTTCAATTTTGTGCTTTTCAGCTTTTTTATTCTTTATCATCTACCGTATTCCAAATAGTGATACACTCGGAACCTCTCAAAAAATCGAAAAAAAATTGAAAATTTTCAAAAACGATGTCTAGAAGTACGCAAAAATGAGACTCATATTCGCCGGTACTCTTAGAAATCGTTTTTGAAAATTTCAATTTTTTCGATTTTTTGAGATTCCGAGTGTGAACACTATTTGGAGTACGGTAGAAGCAGAAAAACACAAAATTGAAATGAGCAATGCTCATTTGGTGTGCAAAAACCACTATACAAGAATACAAAAAAGTTCTGAAACGTCGGGTTCTGAAACGTCCCGGCGCCAAATTTTTTAGTTCCAAGTCCGATTTTTTGTAATCGAGATTCCCCTTTTTGGGTCATTTTTCAGCCAATTTTCAAAAATTTCAGAAAAAAAAGTTCATAATTTTGAGCATTCCTTCATGAATTTTGGGCCAAATTCTCTCGATTTTACAATATTGTATAGCTTTTCTCGGCCAATTTTTGGGGTTTTGGGTTCTTTCACACACCCATGACAAGGAATTTGGTGCTAACTTTCTCAGCATCCACATTTGGTCTCAGCGCGACACGACGGGCACTCCAAATGTGTTCTCAGGATTTTCGACCGATTATCAGCATTTTCCATAGTTTTTTAAAACCGAATTTCTTCGTTCAAAATTCGATTTTCACCACTTTTGATTTATTTTTTCGAATTTTCTGTCGAAAATTTCGTCTATTTTTCACTTTTTTTTTTGAGAGAAATTGTGGTTTTTTTCTGAATTTCGATTGAGTTTTCTAGTCTAAAATTTGATTTTTCATAATTTTTGAGCCATTTTTATCGAAATTTCCAAAAAAATCACATTTTTCGATAGTCATTTCATCGACTTTTTTTGAACTTCAGACCGATTTTTCGTGATTTTTTGTGATTTTTTCATAATTTTGAGCGATTCTTTTGGGAATTTTTGAAATGTTTCAGTCGAAAATTCTCTCAAAATTCCAGTTTTTTTTTTGCGAGCGATTTTTCGATGAAATTAGCAGTAAAGTGTGATCGAAGTTCTCTTTTTTTGGTCATTTTTCTGCCAAATTTTGAAATTTTCAGAAAAATACTTTTGAAATTTTTTCAAATTTTTGTCGGAATTTACAAAATTCTTATGACAATTCATGTCTTAACAGCAGTTTTTATGAATTTCGGGCCAAATTTCTCTCTAATTAACAATATCTTATAGCTTCTTTCGGTCATTTCATGGGGTTTTGGGTTCTTTCACACACCCATGACAAGGAAATTGGTGCCAACTTTCTCAGCATCACACTTGGTCTCAGCGCGACACGACGGGCACTCCAGATGTGCGGAATTCCCGTATTTTTGAACATTTTCAACGCATTGACTGCAGAATGTGTGTCCGCAGTGCAACATTTGAGCGATTCGGGTGGTTTCGTTGAAATTCTGAACGAAAAATTTGGAAAATTCGAGAAAAAAATGGCGCTACCGAATAGCAGACTGGACACAAACACAGACTTTCCATAGATGCAATCAGTGGCTCTGCTGAAAATTTGAACAAAATTGAGAAATTTCGCTGAAAATCGCTGAAAAACCTTGCACTGCCATGATTTTTTGTGTAAAATTGAGGTGTTTTTAGATGGAAAGCCTGAAAATTTGAGCTGAAAAACTTGAATTTCGGAGAAAAAAGGAGAAAAATTAGGTCAAAAATGATGACAATTGAAATTTTGGTTTTTGAAATTTTGAAAGCGCGCGCAAAAAATTCGGCGATAGAGCGCGATTTGTGAAGCAGAAATTTTTTATGGAGACCCTGCAAATTCCGGGGAAAAAAACCGGATGTCTGTGTGCAGAAAAACCGTGCGGCAAAACCGTGTCAGGGTTGCATTTCAGGCTCCTTCCGCCACTTTTCCCGACTCCGCCTACTTTTCCCCGGTTTTTCCCCCGGAATTTGCGGGGTCTCTTTTTATGAAAATTTTCGAATTTTGCAGATTTTTAGATTTAAAAAAATGGTAAAAAAAGCGAATTCAGCTAGAAATTTAAGTTTTGAAAAGTTCAAAAATTTTAAATATTTCAGATATTTGAAAATCGGATTTCCAGTTTTTCAGAAACTCGAAAATTCCAAATTTCAGATTTTTGAAAATATTTGGGAATTCGAAATTTACAAGTCCGAAAAGTCCAGAAAAACCAGAGATTCCGAGATTTCAGCGATTTCAGAACGAAATTTCAGAGAATAACCTGATACTCAGAAAAATTAAATTTCAAATTCGCGCGCAAAACTCATGTCCAACAGAGCGCGCTTGCATACTTCCCTCTTTTTTCGCATTTTTTTTCTCAAATTTCACAACCACTTTTCGCATCAAAATCAACCGTTTTTTGTCGAATTTCTCACATAAATAAAAATTTGCAGACTTGGAAACATGGAAAAACGAAAACACAAACGTTTGAATGACACAATAATGAAGCCAGAGGATTTGAAAAAGTCTCGGGTGATACCAAGTGGTCCATCGACATCAGCTACTTCTGGAGGCATCAAGGCAAAGTTAGACTTTCGAACGCCGACTGGAATTCCACCAAAGCCCGCTCTGAACAGCACAGGTCCATATGAATCGATAAAAATTTTTTGATAATAAAGTCTATATTTGCCTGTTAATATATATCATTTTCACCCATTTTTAAAGAATTTTCCCTCCAAAAATGTCAAATTTTTCAGCGAATCATCCGTCTGTGCAATCGTCACAACTCGTCCGTCCGCATCTCGATGACAAGTGGAAGGAATTCGGCGATTCTATAGTTTTGAATCTGGAAACTTTTGAGAAAAGTGTCGACGATGCGATTTTGGCGGGCAATTTCAATAAGGTGGCGCGCATGTTCGTCGCCGCGTTGAAGAGCTTTTTGGAGGGCGATAAACTGAAAATTGAGCTCAGATTAATGGGAACTATCGGGCTGACAGTGAAAACGCATGGGGATAAGCTGAATGTGAGTTGAAAACACTGTCAGTTTGATGGGGGAACACATGAAAAAGAGCCGGAAAGTCGATGGAAATTCGATGGAAACGGAGCTGAAAATCTGGAAAAATAAAGAACTGAAATTGAATGGAAATTTAGTGCTTCTGGAATTTTTTTTCGTTAATTATGAGCTAGTTTTCATGCAAAAAGTTCCCCAATTCATTTTTTGGGAGTTTTCAGATTGGAAAATTTAAAAATTGGGGATTTTTTGAACCTAATTCAGAAAATCGGGAAAAATGAATGTTCTGAATTTCCGAGTCAAAAATACAATTAGTTTACAAAATTCCCATTTTTTGAAATTCCTTGATTTTGGACTTTTCGGATTTTCTTAATTTCAGAATATTCTCAAAGTTCTCAGTTTTTGATTTTGAAATTTTCAGAATTGACAAACAAAATTGTTGAAGAAAACTGCTGTGAAATTTCGATGTTTGATTGAAAATGTTTTTAAAAAATTGTCTCAATAATCTCAAAATATTGGCTTTGTCTTCAAAATTCCTGCTTTTCTCAAAATCATAGTTGCAAGCGGGCCGGCGCGAGCAGATGGTGGGCCGGCTGATAACTTGTCCCTAGAACGAGGTATTCAGATGGTTTTGATACCAAATGATAGATCTCGACAGGGCCCATCACGCCTATATTATTCGAGCCGGATTCCGGTCCGATATCATATCGAAAAATGTGTTTGAACGACAAAAAATCTGCTTTTCGTCAAATTGGTCGAAAATTGTCATTCAAACACATTTTTCG